CTATAATTCACAATAATTCTCATATATCCTAAAATGATAATCAATAATAATGAATCGATTGGCTTTTAATAATCTTAGAAATCTTTTAATATCATACCTTGAGGTTGTAATGTAAACTGAAATACATTTTTTAACAACATTTAAATACAACTACTTGATTCGATTTGAACGTTTCGCTATTCGTTTAATAAACAGTGGCAGTTGAATCATTATAGTAACGTATAGCAAACCGAACATAACTTGTCACTTAAAGAAGCCTGATTCCCTCATTGGTTCTTTCAGTGTATGACTGATCGCTTGGGGATATGCACCGTATGGTTTCGATAAAGCTCAACAAAAGGCAGTGACTTCAGTTTTTTTCCCCCTGCAGTTTACTACCTACGACTTAACATTATAATCTACATAACACAAGATTTCCATCTAAGCTCTATAAAATGTTTAGTGGTTGTATCGTAGGTAGCCGGGAACCTCATCGTTTCTCGTAAACCGACGTTCGCCGAACATTTAAACTTCTTCAACTACGTTCATAATGGCTGTAGACCTTACGGTATTGTGTGAGTTTTCCGAGAGAAACATTATACGCCGAGTTTATCACAACTACGTTGTAAGCAATTTCAATATTGAATTCGTACTCCTTTTCAAGTATAATATAATACTACATATACGTTAGCCACTTGTTGCATGAACACAATATTCAAGTATGGTATATTAATAAATTTTAATACTTGCTATAACCTAAGATACATATTTATATAATATAACATATGCGTAGATCATTGCAAGGACCACGAAACACATAACCGTTACGTACATTCACCGTATTCAGTTGTTAAGAACAATTCGATATTCAATTTCAAGAGCTAAACTTCATATCCTTTGTATGGATATACCATGCGAAGTAAACGAATTTCCAAATAGTTACGTCAGTGTCGGCTGTCTGTATTATTTTAATGTCTTGTATAAGTTACAGCTACAAAGACGTATAGAATATTATCAGACTGATGCGTAACCAATGGCAGGCAATTAAGTTTTAGAACATTGTGTTTGTTCATTATTTATACCATACCACTTATTTTAGATTCTATAAAACAAAACTATATTTTTAATACAATATAAATAAGTTGATCTTGATGGCTAAATTTTTGTGTAATAAAATTAAAAGATTAAATACTAATAGGAATCTACAATGTGAATCACAATATCTAATAGAAATAATAATTAATCATTGAAACGAGTATTTAGTATCTCTTCGTACTCAAACCATTGATTATGTTTATTCCTGTTTAAAATTCTTGATTTCTTATTAATTTTTCGTCTCCATGGAATTCGAATAGTTGATAAATTCCCATTGAATAAAATTGCTAAGGTATGATAGGTAGTATTATTTTATAATTTATAAAACATGTGACATTGAAAATAATTATTTCAGTTCAGGTTTTATAAAATTAACTAACGCTTGATTGAATGAGTTACTAATAAATCTATGAATAAACAATTTACATTATCGTATTATTTATATTATTAAAAAAAAAAAATTTATCAAATAATAAAAATAACTATATTAAGTTAAATATACTTCGAGTTTTTCTAAATGATAAAAAAAACATCTAGTTATGCATATTATATTTTAAAATAAATTGGGTATGAAAATGAAAACTGCTATAACGTCGTAATAAAAATTGTATATATAGAGAAAAAATGTATGAATACATGAGTAATAATTTGGTACTGCGACAAAAACCTTGAAGGATAAATACAAATAATGATAAATGATAAATTATATGCATGTAATTAATATATATATTGTCTATAGATTTTATTATTTTCGGACAGAAGTTTCAAAAAATTCAGCAATAGAAAATGTATTTCGAAGAATCTAGCAAAAATTTTATTTTTCGGGAAATGATGTAGCTACTTTCATAGTTAATCATGGGTAATGTAGTATAGTCTAAATACTGGTTTTCGTCTTGATCGATTTTTAATGTTCATCAAAATAGCGGAAAAAATGATTTCCTATTTTCAACTTATTCATCTCTGATAACTTTATTATAAATATATCATACAAAATGTGAACTTAATTTATATCTTTCGAATGTATCTATAGACGATTCAAATAATCGAGTTAATATCAGATACTTTAAAATTATACGTAGTAAATGATATTCGTGAACTATTGTTTGCATATCTTCTCGAAGCTTTAAATACTTTAAAAGTATATTTACGCGTAAAATATAATATTAAAAGAAATAATTCGAATGATCTTAAATCACTTTTTAATCATTTGACCGTGGTGAATTGATTATTACTCAAGAGATTTGAATCTTAAGTTGCAAAAACCAATGGCACACAAACGATTTCTTTCCGGGGAGGGGTCAAGGTAAAAATATAACACATTTTACAATTAACAAAATTATGCAAATCCTTAATATATTTTGACTTAAATAATAGGATTGATAATAGAATAGACTATTCTATAACCAATGATACTAGGTATTTAATACTAGCTCTTCATATTTCAAACTTGTAAAATTTATAAATCTTAACCTAGACATCTGAGAAAATTTGAGGAGGATTACAACCCCTTATCCCTCCCCTGTGTGCATCGCTGACAAAAACCATCAAAATAATACATACGCACAATGTAGTTATCTAGAGCTTTTGATCGTACTGATTGTTTTGATGGTTTTTTTTTTTTTGCAGATTGCATACAAAAACATCTTTGAAATTTAAAAATAAAAATTTAAATTGAAATACTGAAATTAAATTTGGAGACCCTAATTCTTTCTTTTTATTGTATAGAATTAGATAAGTGGGCAAATAACGCAAACGTAAATACGATTAGATTTTTGCCTTTTAAAATTAAACAGATTGAAAAAAAAATAATAATAATAAAAGAACGGTAATTTGAAAGGCAACGGGTGTTTTTTTTCTGATCACACGAAAAACACAAGAATTACGGAATTGGTTAGAATTTTATGTTTTGTATATATAGTCTTTATGTGACGGAAAACTAACATGGGTATAACAAATCGAAGCCGTCAAATCCATATCGGTACCGTGCAGTGGTAGTCTGCATTCGGATATTACGTAAATGATATTACATTTCTCTAACCACTCGTCTACAGTTCTTATATTAAATCTTTTCGCAGCATCGATCCATTAAATTATATACGTTTTGTCATTATTACTATGATATTTTTTGGTCTGACCAAGATTTCAGAAATTTTAAACGTGTACCACCCCTTTATATTTTATTTATTTCGAAAACATTTGTTCGAGATTGTTAACGATGGGACCTATGCAATGTCCATTGAAGTCCAAACTCTTTTTCGATTTTCTTTGTGTTTACTTTTTCGTTACCCTTACTCACCACGTTCAATCTATCCAACTCTTGATAGTGCCATTTTGTACACTACTTTTCGTACAGCAAGATTGATTGTTACAAATTTTTTATAAATCGTACACGGTGGTTTCAAGAGAGCTACTGCGAATAGACGTATTCGAATAGTATATTTTGTATTTACACAATAAAATGTATTTTATTTTCTAAGCACTATTTATATGGGATAGTAGTGTATCGTGATGTAACTGTATTTCACGAGAAATAGAAAGAGAGAGTGAGAGAAGAGAGAGAGACAGAGAGAGAGAGAGAGAGATTATAATTTATTATAATTTGGAACATTGGTTTAAATGTGTAAAAAAAATATTTTCGTAAATAATAGACGAGCAAGTAAGCAAAAGATAACATAATGAGAATTCTCTTGCAATAAATTAACTTAAAAGTTGTCAACGTTTGTGCTAACGACTATATTTATTATTATTTACAATATTTGAATATTATTTGACATTTACTTGACTCTTATAACTACCCATCCGCTTTTCTGCTTTTATAAATTATTTATTATATATGATGACTATCATGTTATGGTTGATTCTACATACTTGCACAACATACAAAGATGCATGATTTTGCTACTTGTTTTTGTAAATTATTGAATTTATTTTTATTTTTATAAAACGTGTGTTTTTGCTGTTTTACACAAAGTTAAGTTCGCATGCATGAACCTAGCCTAAAACGTAATTTTATAGTCATTTAGACACGTATAGAAACCATATCTTACGTTTTTTTTTATTTTGGTTTAAAATATCACATCTACTTATTTAAAACAAAAATATTTCTACTTTCCTAATGTTTAATATTCAAGAAGATCGATAGGGAAAAAACTTTTTATAATAACAGGTCTAATTACACAAGAAATTTGACAACGTACGACGTGTAGTAATCAAGTATAATTATAATTTATTGTTGAGATTTACGAATTTAAAATGTTCTTCGCTTAAATAGTTGGCAAAGGAAGAGCTTGTTACAATTATCCATTTCTGCAGCGAAGGGCTTACCGTATCTTATCAGGCTTAGTTTCAGATAACAGTAAAATGAGTATTGTAATTTGCAGATCCTTCGTCTCGTCCTGATGCATATTATTAAGTCTTCCACCGGTTTATATGAAAATCTATCCAAGGACGGAACGCAAAGGTCAAAAAATTACATATTTCATGAATAATAATTTACCAAACGTATTTAACCATATAAATGGATTACCTATTTACCGCGAAATTTAAATTGTTATAATTTATTTCACATACATATTGATAAATACAATCAATTATTTATTTCAGTTTATATGCTCGTCGCCTGGAGTTTTCCCTTTATAAGATATTTCATATGCATTTTGTCGGTTCATATTTGCATAACATTGATCATAGTCACCTGTCCATTTTAAGCATCACTCACAAAATCATGGACATTTTTTCCCTTTATTCGACCTGGTTTCAGAATCTACCGTTCAGTTTACTTCTCAGCGGTTTCCAACATTCATATCGAGAGTGTTGACAAGACAAACCCAACACGACGGTATCGTTGAATCGATAACAGAATACTACTGTACCGCATAAGTAAGAACAGAAAAACTGATAAGGGTGTAAATGGATATGTGACTCACCAGAATTTTATTGATGTAAAGTTCGTATGGTATGACCATGCTACCGGTAGCCGTTTCTACGGCGGCGACCGACATCATTTCTTCGAGCTCTTCGTCTTCAAACGGTTCGCCGTCGTGTTTAAGTGCCGACTCGATGCACTCGCGACTGATCATGCCAGTCCTATCCGGGTCCAAGGCCCGGAACGCGCTCAATAGTTCGGACGCGGAAGCCGGTTGGTACCTGTAGTTATAATAACATTAACGCATTAAGTAGAAAAACGCACAGTGAATTAGGGCAGCGATTCCCAAATATTTACGATTAAGTCCTTTGGAAATCGATTGTGTTTCATAAAACTCCAATGTCTCTAACTCCAAATTGACCCATACTCTTCAATTACTTATTGAAAAACCAACACTCCGAAAAATATTTAACAAATTGATTATTGTTTATTACGATTACTATTCTCAATATTCACGATTCCACCTTGCGATTGTTTCACGGAACACACTTCGGAAATCGCTGCATTAGGAAATATAAGAGACTCAAAACCTATGCGATGAGGGGACACTCTGTGAATTATTTCGAGAATCAAAAATCAAAACCGTGAAATACACGATTCGAATTGTGCGGCACTAGGTACTGAAACAGGAGCGTATATAGGTTATAGTTGACAAAAGATAATTGTAACCATTCGAAGATTGAGTGTAAGGCAATCATTGTACATTGTACATTACAATGTACTTGTTTACATGAGTAAAAAAAATAATGATGAAAAAACGATTTCGATGAAAATTCCGGCTTGTAGTGTAAATATTGAGTGTTGAATTACAGAATAAATGATATTATATCTTCAAATATTTTGAACATTTCTGTAAATTATACTCGTATTTAAATTAGAAAACATAATTACTCACAAACTTTTGTCTTATCAAAATAATACAAACTTGTGTTCACTTTATGAGTTTGTTTCAATATTTTCTACGTCAAAGAGTAGTTATCAAGAAAATAGATTACATGACATATGTATTACATAAAGTACCTACTTTTACCATCTTATTTTACCATCTTACGTGGTAGACAATTTTTGGCTCAATATAAATATTGCAACGTATAAAAAAAATTAAAACCATTTCTTTCTGTGTTCAGAGTTTCAAGAAATATCACTTATTGTACTCAAATTCATTAAATCCTACATAGTTGTCTATATTTATACAACCGAGAAATATTTTATAATTGTATAGGAAATCGTTCAATAATCAAATTTAGGTGCACATAAATATTTTTGTATATTAATATGTTTAACGGATGAATGAAAAGGTTGCCACTTAATTAACCACTAATCCTCTTATTTGAACCCTCTTTAGCTCGGATGAACAAATACCCTTTGAGACCATTATATGGAAATGTATTGCATTGTTTACATTTGAATTACATAACATTATGTAATAAGTTATGCATGCCTCATACGACTGCGTTTTCTTATGAAATTCGTAAATATACATGCGTAGGTCGAAAATTAATGATGGCATCTTATGGCGTAAAATTTGTTGATGTTTAACGATAGTGTCTAAATACTTACCGCCAACTGCATTATTAATCCAAAATTGATTTCAACCTAAATGTATGCTTCGACTTTATATGCACTCCTTTATTAAATACACCAATAGTGATCAGTAACTGTTTTCATAACAATTATCTGTATTCGGCACGAATTATCATGATTATATTATACGGTATGAATTATTTATGTAAATATTTTATTTTTTTTTCTCTTAGAGTGTTTATTTTTGTATTAACATATGTGTTAAAAGATGTCGGAACTTTTTTATGCCAAATAAGACAAAAATCGAAAAATACCGTTTTTTTATCCAGTTATAAATATGAAAAAATATTAAATACGAAAAACTATTTGGCTATAATGTCAAAGTTGGACTTTACACTTTAAATTTACCAAAAAAAGTAATAGAAAATTTAGAAAACGAAGAAAAATTATTAGAAATATTTGAAAAAAATAAATTCACAAATGTTAATCTTATATTTTCCTAAAATGATAGTACTATTGCCATAGAAAATTTAAAAATTCCAATATCAACAACTCTGCTATCAAATTATGCAAATGCTATAGAAAATCGAATAGAGACTAATCTTGAAATTAAGTAGTTAAAATGAAAACATTGTCAGATAAAAATCTTTAAGCAGCAGAAGTTGGTATTACAGTTCGAGTTCCAGTACTCAATGTGGACAAAGGTCATGGAGATGCTCGAAATATTTTAGCTGTTGGTATAGAGGTAAAAATAAAACAATACATGTAATCATTAAATGATTAATATAATTTTAATATTATTTCAACTAACTTTTGATAAGTATTACCGTTTAGGCTTTTGAAGGCTTTACACTTAAGGTCTCAATTTATAATATACAAAAAAATTGAATAACGATTGTGAAAGTTCCGGTGAAAGTACATTTGCTTTACGGACAATAACAACCTAACAATCTATGGAAACTGGACAAAGTATTGTAAAATGCACATTTAAATCAAAATGTCAAAAAAAAAATTTTTATGTAAAACAATTTTTTATGCATTTCAAAATCTCATGTATGTTTATAAAAAAAAAAAAAAACAAATAAATAATAAACATATTTTGATCAAATACCATTGGCATTCTATAGAAATCTTAAAAATTGTATAGATAACCAAGGCATAATAAAAAATAACATTAAAATTCAATACATTGCCAAATGGTACAAAGAAATTCTATAGAATTCTTATATTCAACACTTTGCTGATAAGTTATCAGTGTAAGTTATCAGTGATAACATATATATAAATAATAATAATAATAGAAAAAAATATAAAAATAATGTTTTTCGTTGTATCAGCTAAAAAAAAAAAAAATCAAAGAATATTTATTAGGTGGTGTAGTAATTCTATAGGCTAAGGACAAGGGTGGAAACCCCAAATAGTTGGGAGAAAGGCGAAAGAGAAGAAAATGAATAATATGTTAACAATTATATTTTTTATACAAAAAATTAAATTTTAGTAGCTACAATATGAACATATTGGTATAGTATTAATATTTATTTATTATTTATATTTCAGTTATTTGGGTAATATATTTATAGATATAGTGCATACCATTATATATAAAAAAAAACTATTAATACTGTTATGTAACTATTAAAATCATTATTTAAATAATTAAATGCGTATACTACCATTGAAAAAATGAATTGAAATCTTTCAATCATAAAATGTATAGTTTAAACAAGTTTTGTTTAAATTCAAACTATGCTCAACTAATAAAATAAAAAGTTAACTTTAAAGTATATAATATATACTATTTATTATATTTAATTTTTTCCTAAAATTTACATAATTTATATTAAAGACAAATTAGACTTATTATAGTCTAATGAAAATTAACAAAATTGAGCGGAAAGTTTTTAATCAGTCACCATAAAACTATTTGCTCAAAATGTAATTTTCGTGAAAGACCGGAATAAATATAATATAGGGAAGTAAACATATTTTGACATTGAATCCGCATCAGAAGACTTGTAAAACACAATGTTAGTTTAGTTTCCGTGAGATTAAAAGAGCAGATAAAATTTTGTTTCCAATTTTTGATATAATAGTTCCTTACCTATTATCGACTGTTTGAAATAATAAAAAAAAAAAAAAAACACGAATAGAATAAAATATTAGACGTTTTTACATGTTATCCTAACAATTTATGGTGCATTATAATACACGTAAACATATTTCCTTTACAAAAAAATGTTTTGTTATTCTTTTTTCTCATGAAGCATTTTTGTAGTACGTTGTAGTTTAGAGATACGGCGGGGAATGTTTTAACCTGTTCATTTTTTACGAATTAATTTGGACTTGAATAGATGGTACATGTATAGAATTTAAAAAACTGCTGACGTATCTGCAACGTTGCCTGCAGTATACACGAGTGTAATTAAAAATTTATTATTTTTTACCTTGGATTCTAGGTTTGTTAATTAAAAAAGAATAATGAATAACATGTGTTCTACCACGTTGCCACAACATTTTACCAATTCTTTTCGAATCATATCATTTATTTGATTCAATTTTAAATGTCGTACAAATTTCTTCTAATAACAAGTAGTGTCACAAACATGGCTAGGGTTTCAAAGAAGGATCATATTTCTAAATAAAAATAATACTTACTGTAATTCTGATAAAAAATATCGCGTGTCATTGCTCGTATAATCAAAATAGAAATCATTTTCTCCCATATTTTGTCGTATTTTTTATAGAAATTCATAATAATTGTATATTTTTAAATATCTACTCGTATATCGAGCATACTTTATTTGTTTTTAATAGTATAAAATAATATAATGGTTTAAAAATGAAAAAAAAAATGTATACGTCTAATATAGTTATACGTATAATATAGTACCAGTTGAATTATTTGGACTCGATGTATTATTACTTTAAATAAAAGCAATTAGGAACCCTCCACCTAAAGAGGGTAGGTTAAAAAAGAGCGTAACCATCGCATATTTTAACAATATCTATTTATACTACATTAATTTACATTCAAATCAATTGGATGTCGTTTAAATCAACATATTAATTGAAATTATAGTTAAATTAGCAGATTACCAAATAGTGGAAGAACGAATATATCCAGTCTCGAAAGTTTTACGACCCTTAATAACATGACGCGTTGACTGTTATGATATACAGCGAACAGTGAGCGGTACTTGAATTGTATTTATTTATGGATCGGTAAAACTATTATTTGGCATGTTTTACACATTTATACCAGAATATGTGTATTTAATTTTTTTTTTCATGTTTAGATATCCGGACCAAATATTTCAATCTACCGAACCATCGATGGTATACGTGGAATTCGTATGAAAGTATATCTTGCGACGGACGAGGCGTACGCTATTTACGCTGTTCATTTATGCATGTTAGGTTTGCCTCCCCATCCCCACCAAAAAAAAAACATACCCACGAGTACACGTCATTCGACTCACTTGTATTCGCTGATGGCGTTTTCGACATACGGTAAGAATGCAGCCAGATGAACGGTACCGGTGGCTTCGTGGTCCTCCACGTTCACGGCCAGTTCTCTGAGGTCGGCCTGCGACGGTACGTAACCTGCGGTAATTTTTCGAAGTTATTGGTGCGGCCAGTGACGCCCGACTACGTTACTAGGTGTAGCAGTTGCTACACCTAGAATATAGAGGGACGGATAGTTACTACAAGATGTAAGTTAAAATAATAAATTTGTGACATGTTGATAAGTATAATTATTATTATTGTTGCTGCTATTAATGTTGATGGTGATAATATTGTGCTTCGAAATGAAAATCCACAACATATTTGTCGTGAAGAATTCTTGAAATTTCCAAATTTTATACTTAATGTTTGAGAATAGACTGAAAAAATGTGTCTACGATTTTTTTTGTAAAAAAAAAAATTATCGGAAAGTTGTGAGTATAATTGATAAAAGTTATGAAATAAAATATTTTAACGAATTACATGTAATAGTTATGAATTATTTTAATGAAATCATTAATTTTCTCAGTTATGGATGGTTTTTTATGCAATGTTAACACGTCAAAAGTTTAACTTCTTATCTTATTAAGAAATTTGGTCCTTCTACAATATCAACTAAATTTAAAATCATAAATCGATCCACTCGACCGGATGCACTCGAAACGGGGTGTTTTTTTCGAAAGTAATGATCAAATAATACAAACGTCGAGCGGTATACGCGTAGCCGTCACATGTATAGATAATAATCTCGTAGATCGCTAACTCGCGATAATAGATGAAGTCACCGTTCGCGATTGTCGGCGGGAATCATGTGCTCTATACATGAACCAATGGTGGACTATACTCGCAACAACGTGTTTTTCGAAAATCCGTGGATCTGTAAGTAGTGCCGTAGCAAGGGGGTGGCGAGAGGTGCCTACGCCCCGGGAGCAATTCCTGGGAGAGCGTAAAAATGAAAATCTTGCATTTAATTTTAAAAATTACAACGGTCAATGTCGTACATTTTGTTTAAAAAAATTTTAACATCCTTCATATTAATCAAAGCAGTCATTGAAAATAATATCCAACAAGCGTAATATTTTTAAATTAAGAATACAGAAGGGCGCGTTTTGAAGTTTCACCCCGGGCGCAACGTTTAATTGCTACGGCACTGTCTGTAAGCGCTCGGCTGTCGGTCTACGTGTCTATTGGTCTACGTACTGAAATCGGACCTAAGTGAACACGTACACGAGCGGGTAACTGATTTCCGGGCGATAATTCTTGCGAAGATACCCCGGTCAGCAGAGTCCTAAGTGAATTTATTTCTTTGATAATAAACGCCCTAGTTAGGGCTCGATACAGATAAGGTTTATAATACTTATTAGCTATGGTTAACAGAATTATTATACGATTAATTTTGCTATTCAATTTACAATAATAACGATGAACACGATAATTAAAAATATATAATAATAAACATAAAAACGAGAACATAGAAATATTCTTTAATTATTACGAACAAAATCAAAGATTTTAACTTGTTTGGACTGTCATTAAAAAAAAAAAAAATCAAAGTGAGTTAATGAATCGCTTGTAGTTATTATTCTGTTCATCATACAATTTTCAACAATGTCGCTTATACCCTTAAAAAAGAGGCTTGTCCCCTACTTTTATAACAGTTGTATCGCTTTTCCCGAAAAATTTAAATTCTTGTACTTACTAAATTTCATTACCAAGTGGTCAGAACAACACAAGCGTTAATGCGAGATTTAACTATCGATTATCTCGTAGTATACACCGTGTCGCTTAGCTCCTAAATCTCGCTTAGTCTCTTTTGTGTTTTACCAGCCGATATAGTTGCATGTAAATGCACGTAGACCGACAAGCACGCGACATCAACACGGTTGGTTTGCTCGCAGCCACTAAGGGCCGCTGTTGCTCACCCAAATAGCGGAGTACGGTACCCAGTTCGCGAACGTCGATGGTCCTGTTGCCGCTGTGGTCGAATATGTCGAACGCGTCCGCGATGGCCGCGGCCGTGCAAGCGGACGCGGACGATAGTCCGGCCGCGGCCGCCGGCTGCGAACCGGCTCCGGACGATGTCGGTTTTACTGAAGACGACGACGTTACGACCGTGGTCGTAGTGGTCGTTACCGTGGGGACCGCGACCGCGTCCGTCGGCGAGCAACCGCGGTGCCCGTCACCCGACATAATTGCACTCACCGCCCGGAACACGTACGCGAGACCGTTCGTCGTTGCGCTCGACCCACGCACGCCAGGAGCTCTTCCGCGTGGACCTGTCACGAACGGTTGAGAGTGAAAAATAACGGGACCGAGATGCGCTCACTCCGGCATGGGTTAACTGAAAACATGCCGAACGCGTCGCCGGAACGCAATCGTTGGGGAGATATCCACCCCCGTTAAGTTAGGTCACCCATCTAACCTAACTCCCATCCCCTCGTCCACTACGGAAAACCATGAGCTGCGCTCGTGCCGACACGTCGTAGTGCCACGCGTGAGGTAATCGTCGGTGTTCCGTATCGATCAAACGTACCGATTGCGCAGAGTTGCTACGTTTAAAACAAAAAGTGTTTCGATACGTTTAAAATGTTTGTTTAAAAACTTATTTTTCATTTGAGTGTTTTAAACTCGTTTTAAAAATAGTTTAGAGTTTATGTTAAAACTATGGCATATGTATTATACGTCTAGATAATTACTAAGAAGGATTTAGTAAATACCAAAAAAAAATAATAAGAAATAATAATACAGCTTCAACTTGGTAGGTATATTAAGAATTATAATAACATTTACTCATCAGTGTTTACTATAACTCCAAAAAATAGTAATATTCAGTTATTGATGGCTGAACAATGATAATTGTTATAATTCTTAATATACCCACTTAGTTATTATATTATATTGATTCTACTAAATTTAAAGCAACAATAGAAAAATAATAAAATTCAGTTTTTAATAGCTGAATAATGTGACTGTTGAAATTTTTAATATACCTACCTAATTGTTATATTATATAATTAAATTGAATAGGTTCGTTTACACTTTAACTGTCAACTAATGTGTGTAAAATATGAATACAAATTTCTTCGCGTTTTCTACCACTGTATGAAATGTTATCAATGTTAATTTTAGGTCAAGAGCTACAGCAAGTTATTATACGTACAATACTGATAAAGTGATAAACGAATATGATTTTTTTTGACTGTGTAGCCGCGTAGGTGTATTGGTTTGTGTACTGATACACCTTGGTATATTGTATTACTACAGATTAGATTATCAGATCAACAGAATATATATATAATATTAGATAATAGAAATATTGCTATTCGAAATCGTACATTGTACAATGTCATGGATATGGGATTTATCGGATGCCACAAGTATACGATGTATACATGTACGTTGTGCTTCGGAGCGTCGTAAGATACTGCCCGTTAATCACAAATCAGGAATTACTTGATTTTGGATATCTTTAAAATAGCTATAAATACGTTTAAAACTATTAAATTAAAACATGACATTAAAAAAAAAAAAAAAAAACACTATAAATAATAACTCTGATAAATTGTGATTACACTGGGCATTCACTCGTTCAGCCTCCGCTCTGGTGCAAGCCGAAAAACGACATAAAATCACGATAACGAACGCGTCACAATTAGGTACAGGGCTGGGATTTCGATGTGCACTTAACTTTTTTTTTTTTTTTTTTAAGCTTTCAACGCGATCCTCTAAAAATCATCTCGTAACTATGTGTCTCTTTTGAACGAAACTAGAAGAAAACTGACTGAATATTGACAATTTTCAAAATCGTTTCCTTTGTCTTTTGAGAGCGCTTCTCAGTTTTTGTGGTATTTTCGGATGTGAAACTCGAATTGGAATTCCAAATCCACTTTTATTTGAAAATCCGAGGCGTTTAATATTCACTATGCACAGGTGAACGCGATTGAAAGTTATTAAAATAATTAAAAATGTACTAACTAAACGGAAATCATTTTTTTTTCCTGCTCATACCCATTAATCGGGAAAATAAATAAATAAATCATCGTGGATAAAAGTGAGGGATACATTCATACATATAGCAACACGCTCTCAGTGGAAACTATACAAACAGATGGAAAATTGTGTATAGAACTCTGGTGTATTAAAATGTATACTTAACACCTGAACCGCATCATCTATTATGGTTCTAATTATTATTTCATCGATTGTGTTGATTATAAAAATATGAAATAAAAATATAACGTCAGTATTAAAATATGCGCTCTGTAATAGACTATTTAAATTTAAGTATTAATACTTATATCAAAAAAAGGTTTTCAATATCAAGCACAATCGATAATTATGGTAGATTAGTGACTTAGAAGTGTTATCATGTTAATAAGATATTCCTTTAAAATAATATTCCATAGGAAAGAGCGTATACTTACCCACAGTATTTTTACGGTACATTACATTGCTGAGGCAAGCGATAGTCATTTTTTTAATAGTAGGTATATGAATTATCTTAAAACAAAAGTATTTTGTGTGTATGTTTCTTGTATTTTGCGAAGATTGCAATATCCGCTGGGAACTGTGGTGTGTTTTATTTTTTTTTTTTTAAATAATACTTGTCGTCTATAGAGGTTTGTTCTACTTGGAAGTCGATTTTGTATTTTTGATTTTTCTGAAACTGTGTAAAACCACAGAAAATAGATCACTTAGTATAAATAACCGCGATTCGTATATTATTTTATGTATATTGTTATAAATAATTTGTTAAACTGAAACAAGCGTAAACCCAATATCTTGGAATTAATAGGATTGTTAGGAGTGAAAAATCCGGGTTTGGTAAATTGAGTCCAATTTTATTAATATTAATATTAAGTAAACTGAGTCCCACCAAAAAAAAAAAAAAAACAAAAAGAAAAAAAGGTGAATTGAGTCCCTTGCAAGGGCGTATTTGAAAGGGGACAAAAGGGGAATTTGATGGCTCATAACTCGTATTTTTGTTGAATATAATACATTGATTTACTTAAAAAATGTAATGTGTAAATAATGAATATAAATTACTAGTCTATCATTATAACAGAAATATGAGCTGTAGGTAATGAACTGTAAATTATTTTTAAGTTTGTTTTGAAGAAAAATTAGTTTCGCCCCCCCCCCCCATGGCCTCAACTCAAATAAGCCCTTGGTCCCTTGTATACAAATTAAACCGGTAATTTGAAATATCATGAAATGCCGTTTTTTTTTTTATTTAACACACTTTTAATTATACTAACACAATTGTATACTACGTAGTACGTACATTTAACTTACATTTATCAGTTATCACATATTACATCTAACGTTGTTGTAGATAGTTAGGTACCTACTTATGATAATGTCGCGTTATAATACGGAGCGAAATATAATAATATTTAACAATATAACGATAAGATACATTTACCTATCGTACTCGGTAAATTCATTACTATATTAAGGATTATATTTATAATTTAAATCGTTTTTAATACATTAGATATTTTAGACGGGACTCAATTTGCCGCTTCAACTATTGTATGAGGGACTCAGTTTACCAATTTCAATATTATTATTGGGATTCAGTTTACCTATTTCGAAAAAAAAGATAAATTCGTTTGGGAATCAATTTACCTACGCCCGAAAATCTATCTCTCGATTTGAAATCCATTGGAAAAAAATTTTAAGTATATGAGTATACGAAATAAAAGTTGACATTTTAACCAATTGATTATAGAAATCTATGTTTGAAACTATCAAACATCTTAACAACTTATACGACTTATTTATCGTACCTAATTGATTTATAAATCATGTATGTGAGATAATCCAAGCTCAATTTTAAAGTTTATCCTGAAATTCCAATTTTTATATGATTTTATTTTTAGTTTTAATCCTTTAATTTAAAAATCATCTCTTTTTATTTTCTTAATAATATTTCCGTTTGGACCCAAAATGAAAAATGAGAAGATAAATAAATAAATAAACATTGTATTAATATTTTATTTATTTATTTTATTTTTTTTTATCGTAAAACGAATCGCTATAAATATTTCTTTTAAGTTATTTTTTCGGTTTAAGTCAGGTCGATCGTTTGGCTTATGTAGGATTTTTACGTGAGTAATATACTCTTTTGATCCAGGACTTCTTAGAAAGTAAGATTTGACATAAAATCAACAAAATAACGTACCATGGAATGCTTTTTGAAACACGTATAATTGTCCTAATAACAATTATTATAGGTTTTATTCAAGGCATGCAAAATGATAATAATTTTATCATATGGTAACGAATTTACAAGAATTTGTCCATCAAAGTATCGACCTTGAGAAACAAATTTAATTAAATATCGAATTATATAAATAGAAATTTTGATTTTATTTAATTTTCTTGAATATATGATGATTTTATTAAGTTCAACCACACAAGTGAACAAAACGTTTTCCACTGCAAAAGATAACAAATAATTTAATAACAAAATAAATAACAGTCTAGATTGCGTTATAATATAAATGTCATGTATTTTATTAATAAAAAATATAAGTTGTATAACATTTTTTAATAAATACTGAAGATCTTATGGGAAGGGTTTATATTTCTAACTACAATAAGGATCTATATTTATACCATAATATGTTACGGATAATAACATAATATTATATATTATATAAGTCTAATAAAAAGAAAAGTTATAAAAAATGAACTATAAAATATTTTAAAATTATGACCTATTTTACCAGTACCTACGATTTAATTTTACATGAAAAAAATTATAATTTAATTAAAGATAAACTCCAATCACATTTAACATAATTTACATCAACGAATTATAATATATCATAGAATATTGTTATTATTTTCTTCGCTATTACTAATATTATTTTGGTGAAATATTTTTTCTAGTATTGATACAGTATGTGATTTATAATGAGATGCAATACGTTAATAAAACGTTAATTCATTAATAAAAGAAAATTGTTTGTCGTAACAAGAATATTATAATCTAAAACTTGAAAAAAAAATGAAAAATGACATCATCAAATTAGTAGTGGAACATTAAATGGGACGATAATAATTAGTGAGAAGAGACATTTTCGAAACATTATAATTTGCATAATTTAACTATGATTATAATGTTCGTAATAATCTTTTTGTTATTTTAATCATCAAGCTTCTTATTTTTATTTTTTTTATTAAGTTAATAACCCTCGACAGCATAGGTCGTTGAGGTTTACCAAAAGGTTTAACAAAGTATAGTGTATAGTAAGATATTAGAGATTATGAATTAT